TGGCTAGTCCAGTCGGCCCCTCGCCCAGTAGCCAGATTCCTGCCACCCCTCGACAGCGGCCCAACCGCCTCCCCGCCCCCTGCCACTGGCGCGGAAGGCGAGGGGGCCTGGCGCCGGCCGAACTTGTTCAGAGCCCTGGAAAGGCACCAGCGCGCCAGTCTGGCATCCAAGCAGCCCCCTTCCGCGGCCCCGTGTGGGTTTAGACAGGCACAGAGGAGAAAACCCTCCATCGAAGGAGGCAATGCGTGGCTTTCGGCTCGGGAGCCCTGGGGGCTCCAGGAGGCCCGTGGGAGGCGCTAGAAGAAGCCAAGGGAGCTCTCAGTGCGAGGCCAGTCGGCGGCCGGCTGTGGGAACAAGGATCCGTCACGTCTCGCAAGCTGGTTGGCCAAGCTGGCGATTGTTGGAGTTGCAGTCCAGCGCAGCTGCGGGAGAGCAGGAGGCACGACTGCCACGGAGCAGGAGGAGAAAGGGAGGGGTGCTCCGAGGTCCGCCTCGTCCACCTTTCTGCTCCCAACTCCTTGCCCCACTGAAAGGCCACAAGCAGGCAGGAGTGCCCGTGCACAGAGCCCCTCCTGGCCGGGTTCCCTGGCAACTGCTGCGCACGGGCAAACGACCTTTGAGCCTGGGTGTGGCACAGAGCCAGCAGGGCTAGTAGCCCCGGCTAACTTCTCCAGGAATCTGTCCAATCCCCCTGCAAGGCCATCCAATTTGGCGGCCATCCCAACAGCTCACGGAGCTGATTCTGCCCTGTGTAAAGCAGCCCTTCATTTCACCTGCCCCAGACCTGCTGCCATTCAGCTTCGTGGGATGAGCTCAGGTTCGAGTGGTCTGGGAGAGGGAGAAAACGGCCCCTCTCTCCACTGGCTCCGCACCTTTTAACACCTCTGTCATAATCAAATGTGTGATGCGCAAGAGGAGGCCTCTCTCAGCGTGTCCTCACTTGCGCACCGCCCCCCCCGCCCAGCACATGCGCACAGCTCTCTTTGCTGCTGTGCATCTGCAGATGGCAGACACGATCGTTCCGATCTTGCAGTGACTGCCTCCTCCTCTCGCCTGTTTCTGTCTCCGTGGGGGCTGCCTTCCCAGCTTTGCAAGTGTTCGAGTTGTGCAGCAGTCTTCCCACCCTGACTGCACTACATCCCCCATCATCCCCAGGCAATGGCTGTGCTGTAGTCCAAGGCTTCTGGGAGGCGCCAAGTGAGGGAAGGCTTTTGTACGACTGCCCGAGGGAGACTTAATGAATGGAAAGGAAGCAGGGGGCAAGCCTGCGCGTTACTCGTGGGATCGAAACCGTCGTTCTGATCCCCTTCGCCGCTCCCGGGTGCAGGAGTAGCGCGAGCGGCTCAGGCCTTGGAGGCGGCCTGCGAAGCCGGTGCTGCGCGTGCCGGCGGCGGCGGCGGCGGCGGCGGCGGGGGGGGGGGGGGCTTGGCCTCCGGGGAAGCCGCTGGCGCGTGCCGCCCGCCGCTCGCGCCCCCTGCCGAGGCCACGGCCGGCTCTTCCCCAGCGCCGGCGCGTGCAAGCGTCTCCGCGCGCCCAGGCGTCCTTCCCGTTCTGCACGCGTGGCGAACCGCACGCACGTGGGCCTAGCTGCAGACCCTTCCTCGGGCACAGCGAACGGCCGATCCTTGGGCCACGTGCAGAGGAGAAGGAAAGCCAATGCAGCCAGCCCTGGATCTACTTCTGACCGTCCTCCAGGCTTCCTAAGGCAGCACCAGGACCAAGCAAAGCACCCGCAGAGAAATGCGGGCTGTTGAGGGACTTCTTTCCATTCTTAGCACACGCACGCACGGTTGTGCTCTAACTTCGTTCAAGAGGCGAATGCAGCCGTAGCTTGAATCCATCCTGCAGCTGCATAAACGATACTTGGAGACACGTGCCCCAGTTCTCTGCACCGTTCTTTACCCGGAAATAAGACCCGTGGGGTTCAGCTGAACCAGGATTCCTGAAGCTGCAATCCTGCGCACTTTTACTCGGGAGTAAGAGCAGTTGCACTGAGTCAGGACAGCTGAACTGTGCGTAATCCTGCGCGGGCGCGGCTTGGATTCCACTCAGCCCCTCCCTCCCTTAAACTTTCAGGCTGCTGTGCGTGGGCGGTGAGAGAAATCTGAATGCAGAGTTCCCGCATAGGCACGAAGGTCGCCACGGATTCTCACCAACCGCAGAGGGTGAAAGTTGTTCCATTGTCCAGAGTCTCCGCGGCACTTAGCGCGTGCTCCGCGTGAGGAGCTTACAGATTCCGAAGAAGGATTTGAAACAAGGGCCTTCCTTTGCCGCACGGGTCTTCCCTCCCCACGGTCTGAGTGATACATTAGACTTACAGAGAAGATCTGCCCGGCCTCCTCAGAGCTTACCTGGGCTTCCACCTGAACTTTGCTCGTCCTCTTCCTGGGGCTGCCGCAGCACCTGGCAGCGTCTTTTCTCCCACTTCTCCCCCGCACACACTTTGGCCCTTCGACTCCCTTTTTCACGCCCCCTTTTCTGCCCAGGCACCCCCTGACCGACCTGCTCAACCTGAAGACCCTTCAGCTGAAAGGGAGCCCCCTCCCTGCCTCCAAACCCTGCCATTTGTCTCAGAGCCCCATGGGGCGGGAAGGGGAGTTCTCCCCTCCAAGGGAGACCCTTTTGCAGGAAGCGCCCCCTGCTCAACAAAATGAAGGGCAGCGAGGTCCCTCCCAGCCCAGATGACTCGGATCGGCGCTGCAATCAAAGGGGGAGCGGTGTTCGGGGTGTGGTGGGCGCTGCTGTACTCCAGCCCCCGTGCATCAACCCCTCCCCACGCAGCTTGGGGAACGCAGAGGTCCAGAGCCAGATGAGAACCCCCCATCTCCACCCAACGGCTTTGTGGTGTCGGAAGAACAAAGGGGCGGGGCGGGGGGTTCATCTTTTACTTTAGCGGGAGCTTATAGGAAGCCGCGAGAATAAAGAGCATGGCTGGAGCCAAGCGGATCACTGAGGAGGGGGAGGCGGATAAAGTGGGTCCAAGCCACGCACCCGCAAGTTCCCTCCCATCCTCGGCGGCTCTTGGACTCTGCAAAGGGCTTTAAGCTAATCCCAAAGGGCGGGGGAAGGAGAAGGAGAATGCAGCCCCTCGCGCCCCTCTCCTTGGAAAGTGGAACTGGGGGCCCCCAGTTGCAAGGCCGGGGGCGCTTGCCACTCGCCACAGCACCCCGGGACGCGCCTGGAAGCAAGGTGGACGCGCGACTCCACTCCCAAAGGCTTCCGCGTTTCTCGATGGGTGGACGCAGGCTTGCGACAGAGGCACAGAGATCGGAGGGGGGGGGATGAGGGGCATTTATTTCTGGCTTCCTGAATCTGAACAGATGTTCTGAGACGTTGGCTTGGGGTGGGGGGCCGGCGTGCCAAGCAGGCGGAGCGCCCGCTCTCTTCTCCAAAGGCAGTTGAGGCGAATTTTAAATCTTCTTTGTCAGCAAGCTTGCTGTGGGGCAGCTACCAGCGGCAACCCCGGTCCTCACGGGCTCTCCCTCTTTCCCTGGAAAAGGGAGAGAGCCGCGGTCCCTGTCCCTGAGCGTAGCCTGCTGCCTGCCCTGGCGCCGGCTCTTGAGCAGCTTTTCCCGCGGGAAGCCTGCGCAGCCGCAGCACCTGCCCAGGGGCCTCGGCGGCGGGAAGCGCGTTTGCAGCTGCGGCTGCCAATGCACGAAGCACAAGCCTGGAGATTACTTGATTTGCCGTGGCCAAAGCCGCTGGCTGGGGGCGCACACCTCCTGGCGCGGGGGGCCAATGGGCATGTGGTGAGCCCTCGGCCCCAGTTCAGCCCCCAGAAAAAGGCTGACTTTCTTGAGGAACTTTCTGCTAAAATGATGCCTGGTTCTGTAGTCCAGTGGTGACAGCCCTCTCCTGTTGTGGAACAGCTGTGGCAGCCCCAGGCGATCCTGGTGACCAGTCCTGGTGACCAGAGGATGCAGGAGCAGAAAAGGAGCGCCGCTGCAGGGTGGGGGCCCGGCGTCATTCACCCATTCATTCCCCCTCTCTACCACCCCAAAGCCAAAGCTCTCTGAGTGGTTTACACAGTCCATAAAAAGAGGTGACCCAAACCCTAACCCTACAAGTACAATAAAAATGTCTTAAAATCAGAAAAATATGTAAAGGTACTAAACAGTCAAAAACAAGTAATAAAAATGGATAACAAGATGGAACGAGAGAGGGACTTTACAAAACACCTGGAGACCCTCTGAAGCCTCTGGGTGGCTGGGTAATTTGCAGAAAGCCACAGAAAAGAGGGCTGCCTTAACCTGGTGCTGAAAAGACGACAGATTCAGCGCCAGCCAGGCCGCTGTGGGGAAGTAATTCCACAGATGGGGCCACCGCCAAGAAAGGCCTCTCCCTTTTCCCACCCTCCGCCCCTCCCTTGGCACTGGTGCTCGGGCAGGCTCCAGAGTCTGCGTGTAGGTCGTGACTGAGAGAGGCAGTCCAACAGGGGTTGTGGTCCTGAGCTGGTCCTGAGCTGTGTAAAGTTTCTTAGATTAAAACCAGCACCTTGAATTGGGATAGGAAGCTCACAGCATACCCCGCGAGGGGGCCAGAGCCAGCCCTCTATGTTCACGCCCGCAGGTCCCAGTTTTAAGCTGGCTGCCCCGTTCTGCACTGGCTGCAGCGGCTGGACCATCTTCAAGGGCAGCCCCATGGAGTGTGCGTTGCAACAGTCCAGGTTAGAGATTACCAGAGCGCGGACTGCCAAAGCCAGGCGATCCCCGGCCAGATAGAGGCGGCTGCGCCACCCGCCGAGGCTAGTGGAAGGCCCTGGCGCCACCCAAGCCTGAAGCGACAGAGGTGGGCCAGGGAGCGCCCACTCCGCTTGCACCAGATGGGGCTGAGAGCCACGCTGGGCTGGGCTGCGCTGGGCTGGGCGTCCCTCTGCGACGCTGGCGGCGGGGTGGGGCTGGGCGGGTGCGGAGCGCGGCATAAAAGCGGCCGCCGCGGGAGGAGCGGAGTGGGCCTCCTCGCTCTTGCACGGGTGCCGGATCGCCGCCCCCTGCCCGCGCATGGCTCCGCTCGGCCCCGCAGCGCCGTCCAGCCACGGCCCCGAGAGCGGCGCCACCCGGAAGGCGGCCGAGCTGCGCAAGGTAAAAGGAGAGGTGCCTGCGCTGCTGCCGGCCCGGGCCGCGCTCCTGGGGGCTGCTGGCGGCCAAAACTTCGGTGGGGATCGGGCAAAAACGTGGCGGCAGTTCGCTGTTGTTTTGCAGGACGGGCCAGAGCGAGCCTGGCTGCCTCTCCCGCTCCCCGGACTGACGCCCTCTTTCCCCGCAGAGCCTGAAGCCGCTGATGGAGAAGCGCCGCCGCGCGCGCATCAACGACAGCCTCGGGCAGCTCAAGGCGCTCATCCTGCCGCTCATCGGCAAAGACGTGAGTGGCTCGCGCGGCGCGGGAGCCGTGCGGGAGCCGGCGGAGCGCGCAGGCACCCCGGGGGCGGGCGCTTCTGCAGCTCGGCCTCGCCTGGGCCGGGCCGCCGCCCTCCAGATGCCCGGGACTGCGGGTCGCCATCCCGCGCGTGAGCCGCCCGGGGGCTCTCCGGACTCGGCCACGCGGGCCTGCCACTGCACTGGCTCTGCCGCAACGTGCCGCGGGCCGCTTGGAGGAAAGGACCTTTGGCCGGCTGAAATGCAGCCGAGGAGGCGGCGGCGGCGTGACCCCGAACCGGCTAACATGAAGTGGGAAGCCCTGCCCCACCAAAGGAGAGACCTGCTGAGGCCCCTCTCGCTCAAGGCACAGCCAGACTCGAACGCCTCAGCATTGCCTCACCGATTGCCCTTTATGCCAGGAACCATGAGGAGCAGCTGGCCATTGCCTGCATCTGGGGATGATGGGAGTCGCAGTCCAATGCCCCTGGGTGGCTGCAGGTTGTGGAATGCTCTGTGCACTGCTTTCATGATGCAGGGTTCCTCTCTGAAGGTGCCCACTGCTCTGACCTCCAGCTGACTGTCTGGAGAAGTGCTTCCTTCTGTCGAAGTCCCCCTGGCTCTGCGTCCACGGCCCACCCCGTCCCCGCAGCCCTGCCCCCAGTGGGGAGACTGCCTGCCCTCTGTCCCCAGTGCCTCGGCTCCCTTCCTGCAGCTCTCTCCCTGGCCCTGTTTCCTGAGACATGCCTGCCTTCTGTCCTCTTGAGAACCTAGGAGCAACCTTTCCTCCTTTCCTCTCCAGGGCTCTTGCTGTTCCAAGCTGGAGAAGGCTGATATCCTGGAGATGACTGTCCAGTTCCTTAAGGAGCTTCCACCCACCTGTGTGTCTGTCGCCGGTAAGTGGTCTGCCTTCTGCCAGGGCATGTGGCCATCCTTTGGCTTCTCCTCCCGGGTTCCTCCCACCTCGGCTCAGCTGCATGCAGTGGCAAGGCAGGTGCCAGAGGGGAGGACATTTGTGGGGAGAGGCCACGGCTTTGCAGCTGTCCTGCCCCACTCCCTCACCTCTCCTGCCTTTGCCTGTCCTCCAGAGCTGGGGCTTCCCTGCAGCCAGGTGAGTCCGGCTTTTCTCCGAGGAAGACTGCCCGAGTGGAGGCAGGGCAGCAGCAGGGGCGCGACCTCTGCACACGGCAGCTTGTGGGGCTGGCCCGGCACCTCCAGTTAGGGAGGCCTGGGAGCAGGACTGGGGAGGATCCCCAGCCAGAGAGATGTTGGAGTCTGGGCTGCCCAGAGGAGCTGGGACTACAGTGGCCATTATCCCCAGCCAGCATGCTTCCCATCTAGGGATTATGGGCATTGCAGTCCAGCATACATGGATGCTGCTGGGTCATGGTTGGCTGTTGGAGCCATTTGTGGGAAGGATTTTGGCCTGGCTGGGAATGATGGCAGTTGTAGTTGGCCGCATTGCTGCCGCTTGGGTTGCCAGTTCATCACTGGACTGGGCTGACCAAATAGCGCTCACGTCGTTCAAAGGAGTTTTGCGCGATTGTCCCTGGCAGACCTTTCGAGGCTCAGGCCGTTGGTTGTGGCTGCACCCTAGACAGGACCTTGGATCTGGGTAAGACGAGGCGTGAAGGGAGAGTCGCACACGCGTTCTGACCGAGATCTGTGCTAGGATGCCCAGCGTGGCCGGAGTGGCAGGGCCCCCCCTCCACCTGCACAGGATACAGTGGCCTCTGCAAGGAGCACCATGAGCTCCAGCCACGTGACGCCCTCGTGCCTCCGCCGAACCCCACCCTGGTGCCCCCCACACATTTGGGGCTGCAACCCCCAGCCTTTCTGGCCACTGGCCATGCTGGGCAGGGGATAAGGGGAGGTGTAGTCCAGCACATCTGGAGGAGACCAGACTGGTGCAGGCTGATGCATGTCCAGGTGCTTTTCACAATCACGTCAACCGCATGGAGGGAGCTTTGTGTTCCCAAAGGCCACACGCTTTAACCCTGGCACACTGCGGAGGGAATGGCGGAGGGCAGAGCCGGGCACGGCAGGCATGGCACAGGAGTCCCTCAGCAGCACCTCGCTTCTGGTCGGGGCCTTCATGAGACCGAACGTGTCCTTCATTGCCCGGGAATGAGGCCTGGGAGGACGGGGGTCTTTTGTGCCAGCTGAACGGCTCGTTTCCTCCAAGGCACCTGGGAATCCAAGTCCAGTGAGTTGGCAGGGCAGGGCAGTTAAGCATCACTTGTTTGTGGTCTGCTACTGCAGTGGAAGAGGGAAGGTTCATGCAGACTCTTATGTCTTCCTTGAATATACATTAAAATGCACATTATTTCACATAATTCTTAGTGTGCTTGTACGTATGCCTACCTGGAAAAAGCTCCCCTGAGTGCAGTGGGGCTTATTCCCGGGTGAGTGTGTAGGGTCGCAACCCTGGTTGAAAGGCGAAGGATCCGTCAACCAAAGACATGGCCCTGCCCATGCATGGACAGGAGCAGAAGTCCCAGACGCGCCCGCGGGAGCCCGCTGGGTGCAGGCGGCCCTTTTCTCTGCCTGGACTCATGCAGGGTTGCACCTGAGAAATTCTTGGAGAGACCTGGTTCCGGAGGCCCCATTTTGGTCTGACGTGGCCACCAGGCAAATGACAACGAAAAGGCAGAAGTGTGCCAGGTGTAACTTGCAAGTCCATCTGAGTCTGCAGGTTTTACTTCTGCAGACCAAATTCTAAGGCAAGATGGAGCAACGCCGAAGAATCATTGTACCGTTGCCGCTTCCCCTTCCATGATACGAGACCGGGGCCTTGGCTCCAGAAGCATCTCCTCGGGCTTCAGTTCTGCTTCCCAGGGACGGGTGCCTGTCCCACTCAGCCCTGAGTTTCCACTGGTGGCAATGGGCATTCTGCCTCCCTGCGTTCAATTGCTAGGCAGGGACAATATCCCAGGGGAGTTGCAGCTGGGGAGGGAAAGGTGCATTCTTTCCTTCCCACATGCTGCCGCCTTCAGCCCCCCAGGAGAGTCCCTGTGGTCACGCCCTGTCAAGTCACCACTGCCTTTGGCTGACCTGCACACTCCTTCACGGAGCCAGCCATGCCCCACCGGGCCGCCCTCGTCTTCCTCTGCCATCGACACGCTTGCGCCAAGGTCTCCGTCTGCACGCACATCGGACCTCTTTATTTAAACGCATTGTAATTGTTAGCTTGCCTACTGATTTTATATCTTTGGCCAGGGCATTTCCAATTATATTGTTTTTGTATGATTATATGTATTTATTTATTGTTGTAAGCCGCCCCAAGGCTTCGGCGAAAGGGGCGGCATAGAAGTTTACTAAATAAATAAATAAATGGGTGGGAAATCAAGCAAAGTAGGCCCAGATCCCAAAGCAATGGAACATGTTTGTTTTAAATTCATGTAAATCTCAGCAATTATTTCTAAATTTGTTTAATGTATTTCTGTACCTCCCAATAACCAATTCTTCACAAGTATTCTTAAAACATAGTGCAGAAATACGATAAAAATAGCAAAAACATAAACTAGCCCGAGAAAGAGCATCAAAACCACACACTTTTTCTAATATACAAAACTTTAGAACACAGTTTAGCAGCTTGAACAACTTGAATGCAAGCTAGACCTGCTAGCGGCCGGCACGCGTGCCCAGTCATGCCGTTCAGCACCTGAGACGCCATTCTACAGAAAGGCGTCAACTCGCATAGGCAGCCTCGTGTCCCCGCAGTGCCTCGCCTCGCCTCGCCGTGGCCCTGATGCAGCATCTAATGCTCTCCGAGCCGTGCCTCTCCCAGCCTGTTCCGTATGCGGCAGTCGATGCTCAGCTCCCACGATTTGCCCCGTTTCCTTCCCGGTGGGCTTGGAGAGAGGGAGCAGTGGGAGGGGGGTTCTGAGGCCAGCTGCTTATGCTGTTCTTTCGCACACAGGTGCTTCCGACAGCTACTGTGAAGGTTACCGGGCCTGCCTGTCCCGCGTCGCTGCCCTCCTGCCTGAGTGCCCCCTCCTGAGCCGAGACATCTGCAGAGGCCTGCTGGCGCATCTTCAGCAGCTCAGCAAAGACCGTGGCGGCTGCTCTCGCGAAGTCCCCCACCCCAGGGGCTTTCCCCCGTCCCCCAGAGGGGCCCCGGAAGCCTCCTCTGCACCCTCTCCCCTGGCCCATCCACCAACCCTCTGGAGGCCCTGGTAGCACCACAGCATGCCTCGGCTGGAGAGAGCACCCCGTGGCGGCGTCTCGGGGGAGCGCTGGAGCGTGGCCCTGTGCCGCAAGAAGAACCGCTTCAGGAAGAGCTCGCACCTGCATCTCTGCACAGCGCCCTGCTCTGGCTGCCCAAGCGTCCAGCTCATTCCGCCATGAGGAGGAAGCCTGCCGTGTCTCTGCATTACATTTCATTTTGAGTGATGGCATGTCGGTCTGCGACAGCAGCCGAAAGCCTCCAGTTCAGTCTCTGGCATGCCCAGATAGCGGTGGGAAAAACTCCCAGTAAGCAATACTGAGAAAGATGGATAAAAGGATAAGGCAAATTCTCACAATCCTGGACAATTCAGGATCACCTCCTTCCAGTCAAGGAGGCATATGTAGAACAAGGACTCAGGGTAGAGTCCTCTGAGGCTGGGCAATTTCTGATAGTTAACGAATTCAAAGAGTAATTCAAAGTCATCAGTGGCCTGTGGGAAAACAGGTATTGGGTTATGCATCTGGGCAGCCTTAAATGCTTTGGGCATGTCTGGCCTTTGCTGAGGTGGGGCAGGAATCTCCTTTCCACCTTCCTACAGGCTTCATTGTTCCACCAAGCTCAAGGGGGAAATGGAATGGCAGCAAACACCACATCTTGTAGAACTGTCTTTTTCATCTGCTCTGTGACTTGCACAAATTTGGCGCATTCTGAGCCAAAGATCAGACAGCACTTTAATCTTGTATATATTAGTAGCTTTGATACACAACCATAAGAATAAACCACTTAGGATTTGGGTTTTTTAAGTGTGATGCTAATTATATTTTAACACATCTGTCAGTGTGATACATATAGAAACATAGCAACAGAGCAAGTCAGAAGGGATCTCCTGGGCCATCTAGTCTGGCCCCCGGCTCTAGCTGGCTCCTCTTATGGCATGCCTACTGATATAGTCAATATATTTTTAATTCTCCTGTCTAGGGAAATCTTGCAATATAATCTTGCAATCTCTTTTTAATAATGTGGTGGTTAATTGCACTATTAATTCTTCTGGGGGAATTTGTCCAGAGCATCTTCTTGGATATTTAAAATTATGTGCATCCTGCTCCAGCAGACCCCAAAATCTGGCAAAGCTGGGAAACCACCAAATGCTGGGCGCGGGGAGGGGGGGGCACAGGGAAAGGAGGTACAGTTTTCTAGGAAAATTGTGTGGGGGCAGATTACTACTGCTCTGAATGACTCTGGTGCACCCACAACTGGAGTATTGTGCTCAGTTTTGGGCCCCTAATTACAGGAAGGATATAGCCAGGTTAGAGTCAGTGCAGCGTAGGGCCACAAGGTTGGTGGCCGGTTTGCAGGGGAAGCCGTATGAGGCGAGACTGAGGGAGCTGGGTCTCTTCAGCCTGGAGAAGAGGACTCAGAGGGGATCTGTTGGCAACATACAGCTATGTGAGGGGATGTCACATGGAGATGGGTAGAGACGTGTTCTCCCCTGCAGAGGAAGGCAGGATGAGCTCCAACGGAGCAAAGCTCAGGGAACCAAGGTTCCATTTGGATGCCAGGAAGCACTTCCTGACAGTTAGGACCCCGAGGGTGTGGAATGGGCTTCCACGAGAGGCCGTTGAGGCCCCACTGGTGCGGGTGTTCAAGGATAGGCTGGACGTGCACATGGTGGGCATGTCGTGAGCAGAGCTGGCTGGTGCCGGAGGTCAGACTAGATGGTCTGGGAGGCCCCTTTTGACTCACTCTGTTTCTGTGTTTCTATTTTGAACCCACGTGGGCTGATTCAGCACCCTTTCACAAGGGTAAATTGTCCCAACTATTGTAGTTTGGGTCCAGATAAAGAGAATTGCAGCTTGCACTGGTGGTAATGTGGGTGGTGGCAGAATGCTAGGTCCCCAGCATGGCATCCTCAAAACTCTTTTTTAAAAACGCTGTTTTCGTATATCCATGTGGGTTTGTATATAGCCAATACACGCAAAATACCCATGGATGAAACTGCAGCAGGCGCAGCCCTGCTCTTTCTCTCCCCACTCCTTTCCTTGCCACTTCCTGCTTCCCCATCCCTGCTGCCCTCTTTCTCTTCCACATGCTGCTCTGCTCCACCGCCAGCCTGCCGGTCACTACCCTTCTCCTCCCTCTGCACACGTCTTTTGCAGCGGCAGGCCCTGCGGCAACCTTGATGGCCCAGGGGCCATGCTGCCCTTCTCCCCTGGTGTTGCTTTAGAGGGAATCCCTCTAGAAAGGCTGCGGTTGGCAGCAGAAAAGAGGCAGTGGTCCTCTCTGGGAATCAGTGCCACACATGTGCGTGCACACACGCACACAGAATTTGCACCTGCAAAGGGAAGAGCTCAACAGTGCATCCTCTCCTCCACTGTGGGAAATGGAGGAGGAGGAGGAGGAGGAGGAGGAGGAGGAGGAGGAGGAGGACTGGCTTCCAGAAGGAAAAACGCTACTGGGTAAGGCGTACTTTTGCCATTTAATCCTCTTCTTTCAGTGCCACTGTCTGTCCAAGAAAAACAAAAGGCTGCCTGAGCCTCCTGCATCACAGCAAGTTTCCTGGAGCCCTTACGCAGCAGACAGGCAGAAGCGGCAGCAGCCGCCGTGCTGGTCTTTGGCCATCTCCGGATGCCCACTGCCGTCAAGACCGGGAGCGCTGGCAGCTGGACCCACCTGGGGGTGTCTCAAGCTCTTCCCCAAACATGCACCGGTGAGGCTTGGCGCTGGAGCCTCGTGCGTCTGTGCGTCTCCCAGGCCGCCTCCCCCCCCCCCCCGCCCTCGCAGCAGGCTGTTGCTCGTTCAGCTGCCTGCCTTCAGGTAGGCCAGTCTCCCGCTGCGTGCGAGGGGGTGAGTTCATGGCTGGGCTGGGCTTGGCAGCGGCCCCTAAGCAAGGCTCAGCCTGTTGCCCTGACATGCCGCGTCAGTGGCACCCAGGATCCTCAGGGAGCTCCGTGGGCTGGCACCTTGTTCCCTGACTTGCCCAGCCTTGTTCCCTGACTCGCAGGTTCCTGCTGCTGAACTCTGTGGCTAACCACGTCTTTACGTGGGGGCGGGGTGCGACAAAGATCCTTCGGGGCTGCCTCTCTCCAATGCCACTCCCCAAGCAAGAATCCTGCACCAGCGAGAAAGTGCCACGGTCTCACTGCAATCATTCCTCCATCCACCTCTGAGGCAGTCAGTAAAGGCTATTATTCTAAAATGTGCAGATGTGTGTGCCTTTTAATTAATCAAATGAAATAATGAGTTCTTATTCAGAATTAGGCACCTGGATTTTAGGGGGATTGAACATGCCTAATTCAAGAGTCTGATTCCTCTGAACATGCATGTCCACTCAATCTGTCTTCTGCATCTCTGCATGAGTCAGTGATCTGGGATGACTTTCTTCCAGTCATGAATAGGGAGTTGCGTAGATCCATGGATGGCATGCAGGGCCTGCGCTTCTGGGTGCAGCAGCAGTTCCAGGTTTTGAGGAGTCAGTGGCCAAGATATTCTCAAAGAACTCTTACCCTTGGCAAGGGTGTCCCGTCATTGCCATGCCTGCCAGCTGCCGCCACCCCTCCTCTGGCTCCAGCTCATGCTCATGCCTCTCGCTTGCTTGCCCAGCATTGCTGTGGCATCTGCTCCTCTTCCTCCTCTCGGCCACCACGGCTGGGCCAGAGCAGGCGGCCTGTGAGCAAGGGGTTGCTGAGAGGGAGAGGAGGAGCTCCGACCCGCCAGCCTTGCTGCAGGGCAGGCCCTTGCCCGGGGTCAGCCATGCCTGCGTGGGCAGCAAGGTTCTCTTGTGGGCTGGTGGTCCTTTTCGCCACACAGGAAAAGTCAGCTTTTAAGGGTGCAGAAGTGCGACGGCTCTCCGGAGGCGTCTGCGCCACGGACGGGCGCCAGGGCTGTGCAGCGCAGGTCGCTCACTCACCCGTCGGCACCGCGCAGGCGGGGAGCTCTGGGAACAGCTGTGGGCAGCAGGGACCTGCCAGCTGCTGCCGTCGGGCGACCCACAGTCAGACGCTTGCCATGACCCGGAGCTCCCTCTGGCAGAAATGCGAAGCGGGGTGGCCTGGCGGCACTGGCCATGGCAGCAGCCCCTCCGCCCCCAGTCCAGGCCCCCCCGACATGCCCCCCACAGCCCCTTTCAGCGCTCATCAGGTTCTTGTTTGTTTGCTGGAATGAGATGCTGCCTGTTTTCTTATGAAATAAAGTACACCACATCACTCTCCCCCTCCTGCCCTCAGTCTTATCCCCACAACAACCCTGTGAGGTAGGGCCGAGAGTCTGTGACTGGCTGAGTCCCAGACCAGCACTCTTAACCACAAGACCCCTGGCTCTCAGGGTGGCCTCTCCCAAATGCAGTCTTATTTCTTAAGATGACTGGAGACTATTATTTTAAAACTGGGAGGTGGGCAAGTTGCCAAGGGATGCTGGCATCTTTTCTGGGGTCCAAGAGTCGTGTGGAGCATTGAGGCAGCTTCTGCTCTGGACTTCAGCCCTGGGCAAGTGGCTTCTTTTGTAACTGTGCCAGTTTTGCCACCTGAGCTTTGCATCGGCCATGCCATTTTGGGAACAGGCAAGCTCCACCCCTGGCAGCCACATTGTAAGAACATGCTCTACCTAGCGAATGCGCACTGACTGAAGTGGACTGGGGACCCCTGTACAAGCCCTACCATTTGCAGCAGCCTCCCCTGCGTCACCCGGCTAGGGGTGCTGGGAGTTGTAGTCCAACACATCTGGCAGGCTGGACTGTGGCAGTGCACTCCGCATGGGGCACCCTTGCAGAATCTGCCCTCGCAGCTCCCTGCTGCCGCCCGTTTCCTGACACAGTTCCAGCTCAGGGGCAGGGCGCCTCTGTGCCCACAGAAGGCCCTGGGTCCAGGCCCTTCATCACCCTTGAAAAAGGAAATCAACTGGCAGAACCAGAAAATCCTCTGGCTCTGAGACTGTGGTCCTGGGGGATTCATGAGCCAGTGGTCCAACTTTTTATCAGGCAGATGCAAATACTCTTGCCATGACTAGCTCTGAGCTG